CGGTCGAGGGCGGCCGGCGGGCGACACCTAGCGGCGGTGAGTCCACAGCGCGGGCAGGGGCCCTCCCCGTCTTTGAAACACCCCCCCCCCCCGGCCGTTTGGGGGGGGGAGGGGGCCCTTGGGGGGACTTTGGATCAGGGTTCCCTCTAAGCCGGGTTAGTGTGAGCTAGCTCACAGTTTTTCACCCTCCGGCTCACACATTTTTGTCTTAGCTCACGAAGGATGGCTCCAGAGCAGACTAATTGATGCCATAACCAGTGTTCCCTCTGAGCTGAGTTAGTGTGAGCTAGCTCACCGTTTTTTAGCTTCCGGCTCACACATTTTTATCTCTGCTCGGGAAGGAGGGCTCCAGAGCAAACTCATTTATGCCATAACCAGTGTTCCCTCTAAGATGAGTTAGTGTGAGCTAGCTCACCGTTTTTCAGCCTGCGGCTCACACATTTTTGTCTCCGCTCAGGAAGGAGGGCTCCAGAGCAGACTGATTTATGCCATAACCAGTGTTCCCTCTAAGACGAGTTAGTGTGAGTGAGCTCACAGTTTTTTAGCCTGCGGCTCACACATTTTTGTCTCCGCTCAGGAAGGAGGGCTCCAGAGCGAACTTATTTATGCCATAACCAGTGTTTCCTCTAAGCTGAGTTAGTGTGAGCTAGCTCACAGTTTTTTTAGCCTCCGGCTCACACATTTTTGTGTGGCTCGGAGAGGATGGCTCCAGAGCAGACTAATTGATGCAGCAGCCAAATCGCTCGCTCACAACTTTAATGCCAGCAGCTCACAAAGTAGAATTTTTGCTCACGAGACTCCACAGCTTAGAGAGAACATTGGATGTGGGGTGAATCCCAAACAAAGGGGTGTGTGTTGAAAAGTTGGCAGGCAGATGGCAGATCACGAGAAGGGAGGGCAGGAGGGGTTGCGTCACTGCTTCGTTCCTGAGGCCCTTTCTTACACACCCAGGGAAATGCTGGTTGCCACTTTGGAGTCAGGAAGCCATTATTCTCCAGGCCAGTTTGGCCCCCAGTGATCCTGGAGGTTTTTTGTCATCTTCTGGGCGTGGAACTGTGGCCATTGGGGGTGTGGAGGGGGAGGTATTTGTGAATTTCCTATATTGTGCAAGGGGTTGGACTAGGTGACCCTGGAGGTCCCTTCCAACCCTATGATTCTATAAGCTTTGTGGGCCACTTCATGGCACAAGAAAAGAGTGAGCGTCCAGTAGCACCTTAAAGACTAACAAAACTGGTGGCAGAGTATGGGAGTCACAACTCACTTCTTCAGATATCTGGATTTCCATTCTGTACGGCTAAATATGGTGCCTTCCACGGAGAAAGATTAAGGTGGGTCGCCATATTAGTCTGTAACAGTAAAAAAGAGGAAGAGGCCAGTTTGTGGCGGGGGGAGCTGTGTGAGTCACTGCTCACTTCTTCAGATAACATTCAGGTGGGGAGCCGTGTTCGTCTGAAGCAATATCACAAAGTTTGAGTCCACTGGCACATTTAAGACCAACAAAGTTGGTCTAGGTATAAGCTTTCATGTGTGTCTTCAATGCGTCTTCAGAAAAGGTGTGCATTATGTCCTGCTTAGCTTCCCCCAGCAAGGGGCTTTCAAGGCAAGAGAGAAGCAGAGGTGGTTGGCCATTGCCTTCCCCTGCAGAGCTTTCCTTGGTGGTCTCCCTTTCATGTACCGATCCTGCTTAGCTTTTGATTTTTGGTGACCCCAGCAAGGGGCTTTCAAGGCAAGAGAGAAGCAGAGGTGGTTGGCCATTGGTTTCCTCTGCAGAGTCTTTCTTGGTGGTCTCCCTTCCAAGTACTGATCCTGCTTAGCTTCCAAATCATGGTGCAGGGGGTTGGACTAGATAACCCTTGGGATGGGGGTCCCTTCCAGCTCGATATTTCTACTAGCCCTGTTCCCAAGTTGCAAGGAACGCATGTGCAGTCTGCATACAGTATCCACCTGATTTCTCTTTAGACATCTGTTGAATAGTTTGGTGCAGGGGTTAGGAGTGTGGGCTCTAAGCTGGGAGAACCAGGTTTGATTCCCCACGCCTCCACATGCAGCTGCCGGTGTGACCTTGGGTCAGTCACCAGTTCTCTCAGAGCTGTTCTCTCAAGGGCAGTTCCGGAAAGAGCTCTCTCAGCCAATGTTCCCTCTAAGCTGTGGAGTCTTGTGAGCAAAAATTCTACTTTGTGAGCGACTGGCATTAAGGTTGTGAGCGAGCGATTTGGTTACTGCATAAATTAGTATGCACTGGAGCCATCTGTCCTGAGCTAGGACGAAACTGTGTGAGCCGGAGGCTAAAAAACTGTGAGCTAGCTCACACTAACTCAGCTTAGAGGGAACACTGCTCTCAGCCCCCCCTCCTTTGGACAGTGAAGGGCGGGGTATACATCCAATCTCCTCCTCCTCCTCCTCCTCCTCCTCCTCCTCCTCTTCTTCCCATGTTACTTTCAACGCATAGACAGGTGAATATGTGACTCAAAGCCCATATTTATCCAGGTACTGGTTTCTGGTTTCATTAGTAAAGTGAGCACACATTGGCTCTTCCTTACATATATGCACTGTGTTACATGTGTTACCTGTAACAGGTGAAGGGGGCTACTGAATCAGTCCCTTGGTCTATCCAGGTCAGTCTAGTCTGTTCCGACTGCCAACAGCTCTCCAGGGTCTCCAGCGGAGGTCTTGTACGTCCCTTGCTGTGCGCGAGTGTTAAATGGTGTCAAGGCCCTTCCCAGTTAAGGCGAACCTGTGAATTCATGTCCTCCAAGCCGTCCTTGTCATTAACAGCCTTGCTCAGTTCATGCAAACAGAGGGCCGTGGGGCTTCCTGGTTGGAGTCAGTGTTCCCTCTAGGCTGAGTTTGTGTGAGCGAGCTCACGGTTTCTTAGCCTCCGGCTCACACGTTTTTGTCTCAGCTCAGGAAGGAGGGCTCCAGAGCAAACTATTTTATGCAGCGGCCAAATCGCTCGCTCACACCTTTAGCCATGTGAGAGCCAGTTTGGTGTCGTGGTGAGAACCGGGTTTGATTCCCCACTCCTCCACTTGCACCTGCTGGATGACCTTGGGCAAGCCGTAGTTCTGACAAGAGCTGTTCTTGAAAAAGAGCCGTTTCTGTCAGAGTTCTCTCAGCCCCACCTACCTCACAGGGTGTCTGTTGTAGGGAGGGGGAGGGAAAGGAGTTTGTAAGCCGCTCTGAGACACCTTCTGGTAGTGAAGGGCAGGGTATAAATCCAATCTCTTCTTCTTCTTCTTCTTCTTCTTCTTCTCTCAGAGCTCTCTCAGCCCCACGAACCTCACAGGGTGTCTCTTGTGGGGAACAGGAAAGGAGTTTGTAAGCCGCTCTGAGACTCCTTTGGGTAGTGAAGGTTGGGGTATAAATCCAATCTCTTCTTCTTCTACCTCCCAGGGTGTCTGTCTGTTGTGGGGAGGGGGAGGGAAAGGAGTATGTAAGCCGCTCTGAGACTCCTTCGGGTGGTGAAGGGCGGGGTATAAATCCAATCTCTTCTTCTTCTACCTCCCAGGGTGTCTGTCTGTTGTGGGGAGGGGGAGGGAAAGGAGTATGTAAGCCGCTCTGAGACTCCTTCGGGTAGTGAAGGGCGGGGTATAAACCCAATCTCTTCTTCTCTTCTTCTCCTTCATGCCAGTAGCTCAGAAAGTAGGATTTTTGCTCACAAGACTCCACAGCTTAGAGGGAGCATTCCTTTGGAGTCCATCCATCTTCTGTTGGTTCTTCCTCTTTTCCTGGCATGATCGTCTTTTCTCCTGTCTCTTGTCTTCTCACCATGTGACCAAAAGCACGATAGCCTCAGCTTAGTCGTTTGAGTTTCTAGGGAGAGATCAGCCTTGATTTGATCTTGAATCCACTCACTTGTCTGTTTTGGCGGCCTGCGGTATCTGTAAAACTCTCCCCCGATGCCCCTTTTCAGAGGATCAACTTTCTACCTGGTCCTTTCTTTTTCTTTTTGGCCCCCCCCCCAAGGAGATTTTTTTATTGCCTTTTATATAAGGACGACAAACTACAATGAAAATAAGGGAGGGTAACTACATGTTAGGAGAAAGAAAAGATAACCACGACTAACTAAAAACCCAAGAGAGGAGATAATCAAATTAGTTTGCATAAAATGCCA